GGTACCTTACATTCCTCACACATAAACCGAGTGTCTTTGCGTCTTTGTTGCCATCGTTTTGTTTGTGCACAGACAACACATCTCTTCTGAGCAAATTTCTTCTTAGTTGCAGGAAGCTGTATTATGAAGTGATCACCTTCCCTCCTCAAACGCTTGGGTATATCCCGAGGAGTTCGAGGATGGTTTTTGTATAGCAGGTGTTGTTACCTGTTATTTCATTATGAGTTGTCTGACAACAGACAAACAAAATTCACCAGACGGTGGTCTGTTTCCCGTCTTCACTTGGTACATATTATATGCATTCAGCATTGAAATGTCCATGAGATGGAAGAAAAGTTTCATATACCACTTGTAACTCTTACGAACACAATCAACAAAGAAAATCTGCATATCACATTTGTCAACCAAGCACAAGTTTTGTGTATAATCAATCACTGTCACTGGTTTTCGAATATGTTCATTAGTCATTTTATCAACTTTGCCACTGTCTTGCATTTCATTACAGTGAACTGTTGTCAACAATGTGACATCTCGTTTGTCATGCCACCGTAATGCCATGATGTCATTGGCAGTAAACACCTGCACCTCATCACCACGAGTACCTACGTTGAACCTGGGCATATGTTTACGATTAGAATGCACTGTGCCACACTCATCTGTCTTGTTCAGTCGCAAGAAATCACTGAGTAAAGGGCTTGTATAGCAGTTATGTGTATATAATGTATGCCCCTTACCAAGATAAGGTGCCATCATGCTTCTCACTACATCACCTGAGATACACAATAACATCCTGGTATCTTTCAATGTTTTACTTCCCGTGTATACAACAATATCCAATACCAGGCCACTGTCACAGTCACAGAGTACAAACAGTTTTATACCAAAGTGTTTCCTCTTGCTCGGTATATACTGTTTGAACGACAGTCTACCTATGAATAAAATCAAAGATTCGTCAAGTACAAGATTCTTGAATGGATAAAAGTACATGTTGAACTTTTGTTTGAGATACATAAAAACATTTCTAATCTTGTATAACCTGTCACTTCTGTCAGGCCTGGTTTTGTCAGAGAAGTGCAACATACGTAACAGTAAGATAAACCTGTTCACTGGGATGATTTCACTTAAGACCGGGTTAGAAAAATTTGCCGATCTGTGGACCGTATGCTTTTATATTATGCTTATAGACATGAGGCATAAGCATTATTGTTGCAAAAAGCAAATACATTTCTGCAACAGTTGTCTCTTTCCACCGGTGTAGTCTTGACTGTGGTGATATCGTATTTGCCATGGTGTACTCAAAATACTTGTTACTTTCCCTGGCAATAGTTTCCATCAAGGGCTGGTCAAAGAATAGTTCAAAAAACTCTCAGTTCATTGGCAGTGGTTCCAAGGGTACAAGTAGGTAGAATTCCACTTTGAGAGTCATCAAAGTGGTGGGGCTTGGGAACAAAATTGGGATTTTGCTGCTAATCCCAGATACGGTTTGCTGGTGGATACTGGACATCATAGGCTGGTTGTGCTGGTAGTTGTGGTTGTGGTGGGCTGGTGGCTGACGATCTGCTTTGTCCTTGAACTGAGGAGTCGGCAGCGTGGGTCCCAGCCTGGGCTGGTGAGTCATGCGTGGCCGTGACACTACCACCACCACTACCACCACCTACTTATGCGTGTGGTCTATCCATGCCAAGTGTAGCCACATCATCCTCACTTTCACTGTCTATTCCTGGTGTAGGGCCACAGGATGTACTCCGGGATGTACTCCGTCCCCTGGGCACTGCATAGGGAACACTACCAGAGCGCACGCTGAGGCATATATACCGACGCTTCACTGGTGCATATGCTTCCACACTATCACTATTCGAATGATCGTCAAGAGCAATAAAATCACAATCCACATCACTATCATCATTACTGAAGTCAGACGCCTGGCCACGCGAAAATAATAGTTTTCTCTTGTGTTGAGGCACAACTGACCGTGACTGAGGAGTGCCCACACCAGAGGTAGAAGGTTGAGGATCGTCAGGGTTTTTTGTACTATTATCGATATCCTGGTCATTTCTTTCGGCCACTAACTGATCAAAGCCAAAGAATTCATCTTTATTTCCACTTCCATCAGAGTCAGAGCTGTCAGATAGGAAGAGGAGAGTCCCAATTTTCCTTGGAGTGAGAGCTGCCTTGCGGCGAGGCATAGTGAGCAAAGGTAACTGAGCCGGCGTTCCCACAATGCTATGCAGGCGCCTAGAATTTTTGTTTATGGCGCACACACACCACGCAGACCCGTTCTCTCACATGTAGGCCTATCCGCCTTTTTGCGCTAAATTTGATGCCGCTAGAATTTTGGCGTAGGTCTACAGCTTGGACCCTGAACGTAAAGCCATAGATCTACGGCACAGACCCTGAAAGGGTTAAAATATGGATATTTTTTCTTATTTTGAGAATGTATATTTACTGAGATTGAGAAGTGCACCATTAGAATTTAGGAGAATTCCAAATTTGAGTATAGTACAGTGGACCCCCGGTTAACGATTTTAATCCGTGCAAGAGGGGTAGTTGTTATGCGAAATAATCGTTATGTGAATGAATTTTCCCCATAAGAAATAATGGAAATCAAATTAATCCGTGCAAGACACCCAAAAGTATGAAAAAACAAATTTTACCACTTGAAATATACATTTTCCTACACACAAAGAGAAGGATACATGCACAATAGTAGAGTAGTACATGCACAGTATATATTGTTCATGTACTAGTCTACTAAATGAAGAATAAATGACACTTACCTTTATTGAAGATGCAGCAATGACTGATGAGACACTGTCCTGGGAGTGCCTTTTCCTCCTGAATACTGTAGGTCCTGTTTGGCATTTTCTTCCAGAACAGGCCTTATCACACTGTGTATGCCACTACGATTCTTAAATCTCTCAAACCAACCTTTGCTGGCTTTAAATTCACCAATATGAGCACTAGTTCCAGGCATTTTTCCTGTTCACCTGGGTGTTAGTCGACTGGTGTGGGTTGCATCCTGGGAGACAAGATTAAGGACCCCAATGGAAATAAGTTAGACAGTCTTCGATGACACTGACTTTTTTGGGTTATCCTGGGGTGGCAAATCCTCTGGGGTTAATTGTTTCTTGGTATTCTCAATAAGCCACACCAACAACGGTGCTACAGCAGCAGCAGCAGCTGACGGTGGTACAGCAGCAACAGACGATGCTACAGCAGCAACAGACGATGCTACAGCAGCAGCAGACGATGCTACAGCAGCAACAGACGATGCTACAGCAGCAGAAGCAGCTGACGGTGGTACAGCAGCAACAGACGATGCTACAGCAGCAACAGACGATGCTACAGCAGCAGCAGACGATGCTACAGCAGCAACAGACGATGCTACAGCAGCAACAGATGATGTTACAGCAGCAGCAGACGATGCTACAGCAGCAGCAGCAGCAGACGATGCTACAGCAGCAACAGATGATGCTACAGCAGCAGCAGACGATGCTACAGCAGCAGCAGCAGCTGACAGTGCAGCAGCAGCAGCAGCTGTACCACCAATAGTAGCGATGGTTGATTGGGGTTTCTTGTACAACCTGACCAGGTCGGCGATACACACTCCACTTTCATACTTATCAATGATCTCTTTCTTCATCTCTATTGGAATTCTCACCCTTATTGGTGTAGGGTTGGCACTAGAAGCTTTCTTGGGGCCCATGGTCACTTATTTTCCAGAAACAGCACCGAAAACACTGTAATAATACGAAATATTCCGAGTGTATGCTTGGATGTTACCGCGGAGGCTGGCTGGTAAACAATGGCACGGGCGGCACATGTGAGGCTGGCTGAGGGCGCACATTGGACGCGTCTCGGACGAAAATCGGTGAGCGGGTTTTTAATCGGTATGCGCGGCAAAAATTTTGCGATTAAAGTAAGCGGTATGCGGAATAATTGCTATGTGATGCCATCGTTATGCGGGGGTCCACTGTATTATGAAAGTATTCATATAATTTTTTTTTCAACAAACTGGCCATGTCCCACCAAGGCAGGGTGACCTAAAAAGAAAAACAAAAGTATCTCTTTTTAAAATTAGTAATGTACACAGGAGAAGGGGATACTAGCACCTCGCTCCTGGCATTTTAGTTGCCTCTCATGACACGCATGGCTTATGGAGGAAGAATTCTGTTCCACTTCCCCATGGAGAATTCATATAATTCTCATCATAATAATACTCTATTGAATTTCTCATATTTGTTGTGATATTAACAGTGAACTCTACAACCCTCTGGTGACCATAACTTCAATTACCATACATTAATTTCTCTGTTAGGAATGCATCATACATTTTTCGAACAAAAAGCAACAACATCTACAATATATTTGATCTAAATCTTTATTTTTGATGAAATGAATGGCTAAAAATTTTTGTTAGGTTTATTAGAGGTGTTGTAAACCTAACTCTATTTTCTGCATACTTTGTACATAATTTGTAGCACAAAATTACACACAGTGCCAGTTTCAGGAATGTAATTCATGCATTATGAGGTATGCCTGTGGTCAGTGCAGTGAGTGTCTTGATTTTTAAAATAAATAAATAGTTTTATTACTACAGACATGCATTGCATGACGATGTTTTGGTCAACGACAGACTGCATTTACAACTGTGGTCCCATGCACTTCCAGTCATATGAAAGTACAAAACACACATTTGTGTGCAGTACGTAATACTTGATAATGATAATTAACAACTCTGTTACTGGTTTATGTATTTACTATACTGTACTTTTCATTGTTATCCTAGAGTGTACTTTTTCTACTTACAAAAAAAAAAAGTTTACTACAGTATGGGGGTGTTATGCCAACAGCAGCTTCAAACATCTGTGATGTTCACACAATAATGAAATTGCCTAACGACACATTTCTCAGAACATATCCCCGTCATTAAGGTACAAACATCTGTATATCTTATATTTTGAGTTTCCACAAATAAATTAGTGCAAATCTTACCACAGATCGGCTAAGTGTGACATCAGCCTGTGTGCAAGTGTGGGTGTCCTTGGTGGCTCTGGCTGGGGATTACTCCAGAAGTTTTCATGTTTCCAGCCCATTGTCACTTTCTCCTACATTACTAAGGATACAACAGGTAAGAATTTTTTTTAATGTGAATGATATACATGCATTCACATAAACCTGTGTATAATGGTAGAATGATGGAGTAGTTTGGTTTAGAATGACATATAAGGAAACACTAGGACATATTTATTAGAAAATGATTTGGTCCTGGGACCTATACTAGTGGAGTGGTTTACTTGAGGAGGTAATAAGTATTATACCCGTTATAAACTTAAATTTTTTTGGCTAGATTAAATACTAAAGATAGGGTCCCGTGAGCTTAACCCTTTGACTGTTGCAAGTCCCTTTCTGAAACTGTCATTCTGTGTTGCAGAATATTTGGAAAAAAAAATTATTTTTTCTTATGAAATGATAGAGAATCTTTTCCTGATGGTAATGACACCAAAAGTACGAAATTTGGTCGAAAACTCATGGGATTACGCTCCCGTGAAGTTAGCGGTCTCAGCGACATATACGCATTGGCAATTTTGCCGACTTTGAGCCCTGTTTTTGGCCAATTCTGTTGTTCCAGTTGTCCAAACTCCTTGCTATTTCTTTAGAACTCTATCTTTTCTATCAGTTGAGTACAAGAAACCGCCCATTTACTGATATGAACTACCCAATAAAGCGGCCAGAAATTGGCAATTTGGCCAATTTCACGCAAATTAAAAAAGATGCCAATTTCAAAATAGGGTCCATAATAAACAATGTAGACAGTCCTGGCACTAAAATAACATATCCTCTGTTCATTAGTCATTTCTCTAGGCCCATCTTATATTACTATTGCTTTCTGTTTTGATTTTTTATTCATACAAAAAATACAAAATTAACTGTTATGCAGACTATTGCATTATTTTAAAAATGGTATAAATAATATCAGTGCACTAGTGAAAGAATATTAGACTCCCCAGTTGACATGTATTGGACGAGTGGTATGATTTGCTTACTCCTGAACATTGGTGAAAATCGAACATTTCCACTACTTTGACCTCAATTTCAAGGTCGTTTTCATCATGAAACTAATCAAAATCATCTCTATTTCTGTAATATGTTTTCCATTTTATCACGTGAGACCATGAAAATGAGAGTACAACGATAAATTCTATACGAAAATACACCTCAAAGTCGGCGTTTTAATCCAAAAAACGGTCAGGTTTTTTTTTTTCATTATGCACTGTGTGCTGCAGGATTTTTTTATATGGTGCACACTAACCACACAGACCCATTCTCTCACATGTGGGCCTACCAATTTTCTCCTGCTTGATTTGAAGCCGCTAGAATTTATGCGTATTAATACATCCGAAACTGGCTTGTATAATGTATATCTTTCTTTCTTTCTTTCAACACACCGGCCGTATCCCACCGAGGCGGGGTGGCCCAAAAGGATTCTCCTTTCACATTTAGTAATATATACAGGAGAAGAGGTTACTAGCCCCTTGCTCCCGGCATTTTAGTTGCCTCCTACAACACGCATGGCTTACGGAGGAAGAATTCTGTTCCACTTCCCCATGGAGGTAAGGAAATAAACAACAAGAACAAGAACTAGTAAGAAAATATTAGAAATCCCAGAGGGGTGTGTATATATATGCTTGTACATGTATGTGTAGTGTGACCTAAGTGTAAGTAGAAGTAGCAAGACATACCTGAAATCTTGCATGTTTATGAGACAGAAAAATGGACACCAGCAATCCTACCATCATGTAAAACAATTACAGGCTTCCGTTTTACACTCACTTGGCAGGACGGTAGTACCTCCCTGGGCGGTTGCTGTCTACCAACCTACTACCTAGATAATGTATATATATGACCAAAACAGTCAAAGAGTTAAATCTACATCTGCACCTACAAGTAGGTAGTCACAAAGAAAAGAACATACTCCATTGATTTTTTTTTTTTTTTTAACAAACCGGCCGTATCCCACCAAGGCAGGGCGACCCAAAAAGAAAAACAAAAGTTTCTCTTTTTAAATTTAGTAATTTATACAGGAGAAGGGGTTACTAGCCCCTTGCTCCCGGCATTTTAGTCACCTCTTACAACACGCATGGCTTACGGAGGAAGAATTCTGTTCAACTTTCCCATGGAGGTAAGAGGAAATAAACAAGAACAAGAACTAGAAAGAAAATATTAGAAAACCCAGAGGGGTGTGTATATATATGCTTGTACATGTATGTGTAGTGTGACCTAAGTGTAAGTAGAAGTAGCAAGATGTACCTGAAATCTTGCATGTGTATGAGACAGAAAAAAAAGACACCAGCAATCCTACCATCGTGTAAAACAATTACAGGCTTTTGATTTACACTCACTTAGCAGGATGGTAGTACCTCCGTGGGCGGTTGCTGTCTACCAACCTACTACCTACTCCATTGATGCATGTTAAGTAAAAGGACACAAATGCAAGTAATGTGACATTTTATTGTGGCAATGTTTCGCTCTCTAGGAGCTTTGTCAAGCCGTTACAAACAATACATGGACACAGAGGGTATATACATGTACAGTGGACCCCCGGTTAACGATATTTTTTCACTCCAGAAGTATGTTCAGGTGCCAGTACTGACCGAATTTGTTCCCATAAGGAATATTGTGAAGTAGATTAGTCCATTTCAGACCCCCAAACATACACATACAAACGCACTTACATAAATACACTTACATAATTGGTCGCATTCGGAGGTGATCGTTATGTGGGGGTCCACTGTATAGGCTTTGAGTGAGGCGTAGTACAAGTAGTAGTAGTAGTAGTTATACATGTGGTGGAAAAATCATTTGGTTCAAGAGAAGGAAAGGTTACAAGAGCTATGGCTTGGGTAGCATGAAAAAATAGGTTGGGCAAATGTATATGGATGGATTTGAAAAGGCATGTTTCAGTGTCCCTTCACTATTACATAAGGACAGGCCTGTCCTTATGTAATAGTGAAGGGCCAACAGCAGGCCTGTTGGCCCAAACTGGGCATGTCCTTTATGTATTAGCAATTAGGCAATGGCAGGGTGTACTGTTTTCAGGAGGATTCTCGCTACGACTTCAGAGATGATGAAGCTGCCTTTATTTTTTATTATTATTAACACATCGGCCATTTCCCACCAAGGCAGGGTGGCCCGAACGAGAAAAACTTTAATCATCAAAATTTACATGAAGTTGAGCATCAAGATGATTGTTAAATTTTACAGTAGGATTTAGATAAGTTGAGCACATGTAGTAACAAAATGGTTGATGAGATTTATCGTTAACCCTTTCATTGGCAGTCCCATAATATTACGGCTCTGAAGCCAGTGTTGGTCCCGTAATACTACGCCAAAATCCTCAAAGTTTCCAATCTTGCGGGAGAAAGCTCGTAGGCCTGCATATGAGAGAATGGGTCTGAGTGGTCAGTGTTCACAGTATTAAAAAAAATCCTGCAGCACACAGTGCATGATGAGAAAAAACTGCACCTGTATTTTTGATTTAAAACAATGACTTTGTGGTGTATTTTCTTATGGTATTTATGGTTATACTGTATTCTCATTTTCTTGATCTCATTTGATAAAATGGGAAATATATTACAGAAATAGAAATGATTTTGAATGGTTACAGATAAAAAGTAGCTTGAAAGTGAGCTCAAAGTAGTGGAAATGTTCGATTTTTAACAATGTAATAAAGTTGGTAGAATTACCAACAATATGTAAAGTAAAAGGACACAAGTGCAACTAATGTGACATTTATTGTGGCAACGTTTCACTCTCCAGGAGCGATAAAGCTCCTGGAGAGCGAAACGTTGCCACAATACATGTCACATTAGTTGCACTTGTGTCCTTTTACTTTACAGATTTTTAACAATGTTTCAAGAGTAAACAAATCACGTCATAAAAAAATTTTAAGAGCATCGAATAAAGAAAAAGTTCTGAAGTGTAGCAGGAAAATACTTGTGATCTACTAGCTATTTTCAGGATAGTTTTCAAATACTATATGGATGGCAAAGTACTAAAATAATTATGTAATACACATGTTAGACAAAAATTGGAACATGTAGCTGTGGTAAGAAATATGATCTATGAAGGAAGGCTAAAGGCATTGAAATGCCCTTGATAGAAGATACGAGATATGAGAAGTATATGAAAATTTATTAGAGAGTGTGAGAATGAAAATGAAAATGTATAATTCCTTGTAAAGCTTACATTGTGTTTCCCACCGAGGCAGGGTGACCCAAAAAAGAAAGAAAATCCCCAAAAAGAAAATACTTTCATGATCATTCAACACTTTCACCACACTCACACATTATCACTGCTTTTGCAGAGGTGCTCAGAATACAACAGCTTAGAAGCATATACGTATAAAGATACATAACATATCCCTCCAAACTGCCAATATCCCAAACCCCTCCTTTAAAGTGCAGGCATTGTACTTCCCATTTCCAGGACTCAAGTCCAACTATATGAAAATAACCGGTTTCCCTGAATCCCTTCACTAAATATTACCCTGCTCACACTCCAACAGATCGTCAGGTCCCAAGTATCATTCGTCTCCATTCACTCCTATCTAACACGCTCACGCACGCTTGCTGGAAGTCCAAGCCCCTTGCCCACAAAACCTCCTTTTCCCCCTCTTTCCAACCCTTTTGAGGACGACCCCTACCCCTCCTTCCTTCCCCTATAGATTTATATGCTTTCCATGTCATTCTACTTTGATCCATTCTCTCTAAATGACCAAACCACCTCAACAACCCCTCTTCTGCCCTCTGACTAATGCTTTTATTAACTCCACACCTTCTCCTAATTTCCACACTCCGAATTTTCTGCATAATATTTACACACATTGCCCTTAGAAAGGACATCTCCACTGCCTCCAACCGTCTCCTCGCTGCTGCATTTACCACCCAAGCTTCACATCCATATAAGAGTGTTGGTACTACTATACTTTCATACATTCCCTTCTTTGCCGCCATAGATAATGTTTTTTGACTTCACATATGCCTCAACGCACCACTCACCTTTTTTCCCTCATCAATTCTTTGATTAACCTCATCCTTCATAAACCCATCCGCCGACACGTCAACTCCCAAGTATCTGAAAACATTCACTTCTTCCATACTCCTCCTCCCCAATTTGATATCCAATTTTTCTTTATCTAAATCATTTGATACCCTCATCACCTTACTCTTTTCTATGTTCGCTTTCAACTTTCTACCTTTACACACATTCTCAAACTCATCCACTAACCTTTGCAATTTTTCTTTAGAATCTCCCATAAGCACAGTATCATCAGCAAAAAGTAACTGTGTCAGCTCCCATTTTGAATTTGATTCCCCATAATTTAATCCCACCCCTCTCCCGAACACCCTAGCATTTACTTCTTTTACAACCCCATCTATAAATATATTAAACAACCATGGTGACATTACACATCCCTGTCTAAGACCTACTTTTACCAGGAAGTATTCTCCCTCTCTTCTACATACCCTAACCTGAGCCTCACTATCCTCATAAAAGCTCTTTACAGCATTTAGTAACTTACCACCTATTCCATATACTTGCAGCATCTGCCACATTGCTCCTCTATTCACTCTATCATATGCCTTTTCTAAATCCATAAATGCAATAAAAACTTCCCTACCTTTACCTAAATACTGTTCACATATATGCTTCAATGTAAACACTTGATCTACACATCCCCTACCCACTCTGAAGCCTCCCTGCTCATCCGCAATCTTACATTCTGTCTTGCCTCTAATTCTTTCAATTATAACCCTACCGTATACTTTTCCTGGTATACTCAGTAAACTTATTCCTCTATAATTTTTACAATCTCTTTTGTCCCCTTTCCCCTTTTTATAAAGGGACTATACATGCTCTCCGCCAATCCCTAGGTACCTTCCCCTCTTTCATACATTTATTAAACAAAAGTACCAACCACTCCAACACTATATACCCCCCTGCTTTTAACATTTCTGTCATGATCCCATCAGTTCCAGCTGCTTTACCCCATTTCATTCTACGTAATGCCTCACGTACCTCCACCACACTTACATTCTGCTCTTCTTCACTCCTAAAAGATGGTATACCTCCCTGGCCAGTGCATGAAATTGCCGCCTCCCTTTCTTCCTCAACATTTAAAAGTTCCTCAAAATATTCTCGCGATCTACCAAATACCTCCCTCTCCCCATCTACTAACTCCCCTACTCTGTTTTTAACTGACAAATCCATACTTTCCCTAGGCTTTCTTAACTTGTTTAACTCACTCCAAAATTTTTTCTTATTTTCATTAAAATTTCTTGACAGTGCCTCTCCCACTCTTTCATCTGCTCTCCTTTTGCACTCTCTTCACCTTTCTTTTACTCTCCATATACTCTGCTCTTCTTATAACACTTCTGCTTTGTAAAAACCTCTCATAAGCTACCTTTTTCTCTTTTATCACACCCTTTACTTCATCATTCCACCAATCACTCCTCTTTCCTCCTGCCCCCACCCTCCTATAACCACAAACTTCTGCCCACATTCTAATACTGCATTTTTAAAACTATTCCAACCCTCTTCAACCCCCCCACTACTCATCTTTGCACCAGCCCACCTTTCTGCCAATAGTCGCTTATATCTCGCCCGAACTTCCTCCTCCCTTAGTTTATACACTTTCACCTCCCTCTTACTTGTTGTTGCCACCTTCCTCTTCTCCCATCTACCTCTTACTCTAACTGTAGCTACAACTAAATAATGATCCGATATATCAGTTGCCCCTCTATAAACATGTACATCCTGGAGCCTACCCATCAACCTTTTATCCACCAATACATAATCTAACAAACTACTTTCATTACGTGCTACATCATACCTTGTATATTTATTTATCCTCTTTTTCATAAAATATGTATTACTTATTACCAAATTTCTTTCTACACATAGCTCAATTAAAGGCTCCCCATTTACATTTACCCCTTGCACCCCAAATTTACCTACTACTCCATAACATTTTTACCCACTTTAACATTGAAATCCCCAACCACCATTACTCTCACACTTGATTCCAAACTCCCCACGCATTCACTCAACATTTCCCAGAATCTCTCTCTCTCCTCTACACTTCTCTCTTCTCCAGGTGCATACACGCTTACTATAACCCACTTTTCACATCCAATCTTTATTTTACTCCACATAATCCTTGAATTTATACATTTGTAGTCCCTCTTTTCCTGCCATAGCTTATCCTTCAACATTATTGCTACTCCTTCTCTATTTGAAACCCCTGACCTAATCCCATTTATTCCTCTCCATTGAAACTCTCCCACCCCCTTCAGCTTTGTTTCACTTAAAGCCAGGACATCCAGTTTCTTCTCATTCATAACATCCACAATCATCTCTTTCTTATCATTTGCACAACATGCACGCACATTCAGACTTCCCACTTTGACAATTTTCTTCTTCTTATTCTTTTTAGTAATCTTTACAGGAAAAGGGGTTACTAGCCCATTGTTCCCGGCATTTTAGTTGACTTTTACAACACGCATGGCTTACAGAGGAAAGATTCTTATTCCACTTCCCCATGGATATAAAAGGAAAAGTAATAAGACCAAGAACTATTAAGATAAAATCAAAGAAAACTCAGATGAGTGTGTATAAGTAAACATGTACATGTATGTGTAGTGTGACCTAAGTGTAAGTAGAAGTAGCAAGACCTGCCTGTAATCTTGCATATTTATGAGACAGACAAAAGACACATATTATAAAATATTAATTACAAAGAAGGCCACTAGCATGCCTAGGTATTTCGGGCAGACTAATCCTAATTCTTACTCTGTATTGAAATATACCTAGTTGGACGAATCTTATTGTGGCTAGCTGGTCTAGTGGCTAACGCGATGGGCTGGAGTTTTGAGACTCTCTGACCGCGGGTTCAATCCCGACCGGGGTATGGTTTTATTGACACAGGTTATGGAGCAGTACATTTTAATATACATTATTGGATACTGATATAAAAGTTAGGTAATTAAAGTGATTAACATTAATTAGATTGATAATAGTGAGGTAGTACAAAAATATAGCAATACGTATTACAATTAGTAAATTAAGTAATGGGAATGGTTTTTATCTTGACATGATACAGTAGGTTTTCTTGGTTCCAGCAATACTGTAGTGAGACCATAAGTAGCTACAAAATAAGATAATACAGAAAATAAAGTTTAGAAAATTCCAGCAAGCAATTTTCATGTTCTCGTTTTTTCTTTAAAGCTGCGCATGTTGGTGATGAATGCTTGCCGAGCTTTGTTGAATCAACAGTCACTGCTGAGGCTGGTTCTTTTACAGCCCACAGCTGACATCAACAATTCAACTAACAACTTAGATTCAGTGGCAGATGACACCAGCCAAGGTGTAGAGGTAAGTTCCCACTGTGCCCTTCAAAATTTTTATGATTCATTAAAAACCTGCACATAGGAGAATGAAACTTTCGACGACATTTTAGTCAGACTGAAATGTTGTCATACATTTCATTCTCTTATGTGCAAGTTACTTGTGCATTGCTCCAGTCATGGTATTGTGCTTTTTTTTATCCTTTATTTTAGGATTCCATTGTTATGGATTGGGTTTGAGGAAATGTTATGGAGGCATTTTTAGAAATATACAAGAGCTCTGCTGTGGCTTGTTAGGTAGATGGTTGTGACATCTGCCAGTGTATTCTATCAGCTTTGTGTCTACATCATGACTGCCCATGCCCTGGGTAGAGCCAAGATTTGAACTCATACACAGGTCAGTGTCGATGACCTATGATTTGAGCTAACTATCGCAATCTTTTTTTAGTTCATTATTTAGTTGTAGCTAAAGTTAGAGTAAGAGGTAGATGGGACAAGAGGAAGGTGGCAACAACAAGTAGGAGGCAGGTGAAAGTGTATAAACTAAGGGAGGAGAAAGTTCGCGTGAGATATAAGCGACTATTGGCAGAAAGGTGGGCTAGTGCAAAGATGAGTAGTGGGGGAGGGTTGAAGAGGGTTAGATGAGTTTTAAAAATGCAGTATTAGAATGTGGGGCAGAAGTTTGTGGTTATAGGAGGGTGGAGGCAGGAGGAAAGAGGAGTGATTGGTGGAATGATGAAGTAAAGGGTGTGATAAAAGAGAAAAAGTGACCTTATGAGAGGTTTTTACAAAGCAGAAGTGTTATAAGAAGAGCAGAGTATATGGAAAGTAAAAGAAAGGTGAAGAGAGTGGTGAGAGAGTGCAAAAGGAGAGCAGATGATGGAGTGGGAGAGGCACTGTCAAGAAATTTTAATGAAAATAAGAAAAAATTTTGGAGTGAGTTAAACAAGTTAAGAAAGCCTAGGGAACATATGGATTTGTCAGTTAAAAACAAAGTAGGGGAGTTAGTAGATGGGGAGAGGGAGGTATTAGGTAGATGGCGAGAATATTTTGAGGAACTTAAATGTTGAGGAAGAAAGGGAGGTGCTAATTTCATGCACTGGCCAGGGAGGTATACCATCTTTTAGGAGTGAAGAAGAGCAGAATGTAAGTGTGGTGGAGATATGTGAGGCATTACGTAGAATGAAAGGGGGTAAAGCAGCTGGAACTGATGGGATCATGACAGAAATGTTAAAAGCAGGGGGGGATATAGTGTTCGAGTGGTTGGTACTTTTGTTTAATAAATGTATGAAAGAGGGGAAGGTACCTAGGGATTGGCAGGGAGCATGTATGATCCCTTTATATAAAGGGAAGTTGGACAAAAGAGATTGTAAAAATTATACAGGAATAAGTTTATTGAGTATACCAGGAAAAGCGTACGATAGGGCTATTATTGAAAGAATTAGAGGTAAGACAGAATGTAGGATTGCAGATGAGCAAGAAGGTTTCAGAGTGGGTAGGGGATGTGTAGATCAAGTGTTTACATTGAAGCATATATGTGAACAATATTTAGATAAAGGTAGGGAAGTTCTTATTGCATTTATGGATTTAGAAAAGGCATATGGTAGAGTGGATAGGGGAGCAATGTGGCAGATGTTGCAAGTATATGGAATAGGTGGTAAGTTACTAAATGCTGTAAAGAGTTTTTATGAGGATAGGCTCAAGTTAGGGTGTGTAGAAGAGAAGGAGACTACTTCCTGGTAAAAGTAGGTCTTAGACAGGGATGTGTAATGTCACCATGGTTGTTTAATATATTTATAGATGGGGTTGTGAAGGAAGTAAATGCTAGGGTGTTCGGGAGAGGGGTGGGATTAAATTATGGGGAATCAAATACAAAAGGGGAATTGAAACAGTTACTTTTTGCTGATGATACTGTGCTTATGGGAGATTCTAAAGAAAAACTGCAAAGGTTAGTGGATGAGTTTGGGAGTGTGTGTAAAGGTAGAAAGTTGAAAGTGAGCATAGAAAAGAGTAAGGTGATGAGGGTATCAAATGATTTAGATAAAGAAAAATTGGATATCAAATTAGGGAGGAGGAGTAAGGAAGAAGTGAATGTTTTCAGATACTTGGGAGTTGACGTGTCGGTGGATGGATTTATGAAGGATGAGGTTAATCATAGAATTGATGAAGGAAAAAAGGTGAGTGGTGCATTGAGGTACAGTGGACCCACGCAAACCGTTGGCCTTACATAACGTTAAATCCGCATAGCGATACATTTTATCGCTAAGATTTTGCCTCGCATACCGCTAAAAAACCCGCTCAATGCTGTTCGTCCGAGACGCGTCTAATGTGCGGCCTTACCCAGCCTCACATGTTTCGCCGGTGGCATTGTTTACCAGCCAGCCTCCGCGGTAACATCCAAGCATACAATCGGAACATTTCGTATTATTACAGTGTTTTTGGTGATTTAATCTGCAAAATAAGTGACCATGGGCCCCAAGAAAGCTTCTAGTGCCAACCCTACAGGAATAAGGGTGAGAATTACTATAGAGATGAAGAAAGAGATCATTGATAAGTATGAAAGTGGAGTGCGTGTCTCCGAGCTGGCCAGGTTGTATAATAAACCCCAGTCAACCATCGCTACTATTGTGGGCAACAAAAAGGCAATCAAGGAAGCTGTTCTTGCCAAAGGTTCAACTGTGTTTTCGAAACAGAGATCGCAAGTGATGGAAGATGTTGAGAGACTCTTATTGGTGTGGATAAATGAAAAACAGATAGCAGGAGATAGCATCTCTCAAGTGATCATAAGTGAAAAGGCTAGGAAGTTGCATCAGGATTTAATTAAAAAAATGCCTGCAACTAGTGATGATGTGAGTGAATTTAAGGTCAGCAAAGGTTGGTTTGAGAGATTTAAGAAGCGTAGTGGCATACTTCGTTAGAAGTGATCAAGGTCCCAGGACCGAAACGTTTTCTAATAAATATGTTATAGTGTTTGCTTACGTGTCTTTCTAAACCAACTTGGCGATATTTATTACCAAGGTTTATACCAGAAAGACACGTAAGCAAACACTATGAGGTATTTATTAGAAAACGTTTTGTTAGTGGGATGAATTGTAAAGGACCTGCCTGGTATAGGCCAACAGGCATCCTGCAGTGTTCCTCCTTTCTTATGTTCTTATGTTCTTATAAGGCATGGTGAGGCTGCCAGTTCGGACCACAAAGCAGCTGAAAAATATGTGCAGGAATTCAAGGAGTACATAGACAGTGAAGGACTGAAACCTGAACAAGTGTTTAATTGTGATGAAACAGGCCTGTTTTGGAAGAAAATGCCAAGCAGGGCCTACATTACTCAGGAGGAAAAGGCACTCCCAGGACATAAGCCTATGAAAGACAGGCTTACTCTGTTGATGTGTTCCAATGCTAGTGGTGATTGCAAAGTGAAGCCTTTATTATTTGTATCATTTAAAAATTCCCATGCTTCAGGCAAAGAAAAACCCTTTAAAAGGCAATTTGTGTGTTGGGGGGGCAATCATTTTAAGGGGGGGGGGCAATGGGTCACTAGGACTTTTTCTTGACGGGTTTTCCCACCATGCTTTTTGCCCCCAATGTGAAAGATTCCAAAAACTAAAAAAAGAAATTGGGGACCTTAAGTCCCCGTTTGATTTTTAGACAATGCCCCTGGTCATCCTTCAAACGGGGGCCCAGAGGCTTTATGGGGACATGAGGTTCTTTAAAGGTGAATTTTTTGCCTCCTAATACCATCCTCTCCTGAAAGCCCATGGCCCAAGCAGGTTATTGCAAATTTTAAAAAAAACTGTACACAAAAGTCTGTTTAAAAAGGGCTTTGAGGACCTCAAAAAACCAACTGACTCTAAAAAGATTTTTTGGGGGAGATCATTTTAATTTATCCTAAATTTGGGTGTAAACCTTATAGGAAAGGCTTGGGGGGGAGTGATGAAGGACCTTGAACCTCTTGGAAGAAAACTTTGGCCAAAAAATGTGGAAAGCCCAAAAGGGGATTTTAAAGGGGTTTTCAGGAAAATTGAGAGGAGTATGCCATTTTGAGGAATCCATTGGGGCATTGGGAAAGCCCTTGGGGGTTGGAGGTTAGTGGGGTGATGGGGAAAAGATTTTGGTTTGGGGGAGGACAATGAAGAACAAACCATGAGGAGCTGACAGATCAACTTAAACCAGCAAGAGGCCAGAACCTGGGGAAAAAACGGGTTTTCGGAGGAGGGGAGAGAAAAAATTGAAGAAGTTCCCTTTACAATAAAAAAATAACACAGTAAACACGGGTATAATGTTTCCACTTAAATCATACGATAAAAAAGGACCTAAAAAATCAGCACTTACAATAAAAAATTGGAGTGTACATAAATGAGTGTCTAACAAAAAAACGTCAAAACCTTCTGTTCAGGCTGAAAAACCCTTAAAAAAAGGAAAACAAAATCCATCATTTTCACGCGAGAGGGGAAAAATACTAGTAAGGAAAAACCTTTCAACGGGACAAAAAAAAACCATCTCAAACAAAACATGATTTCTCTACCTTCCTTAAAAAAGCGACTTTTCTGTAAAGATTGATAAGTCCCCTTTAAATACATATATACGTGTTTTTGCATATAGTGTACTTACTTTTAATTTTGAAAATTATTTTTTATTTTTTTTCATCACTAGCTAATCCAACTACCTCCAATACTCTAAAATTTTCTTACTGTTTTTAATTGCTCAAAAATTTTAAAATTAAAAGTAAAAATTTCTTATTTCCAAAAATTTAATAATTTATTTTTTTCTTACCGTCCATTTAATTTTGTTTTCACAAATTTTTTTTTTTTAGTCATTTTAAACCATTGTGAAATGCAATTAGTGAAAATTTTCCCAAAATTACTTTTTTGAAGTACCAAAACTATCTTTTGCTAGCTAGTCCCAAACAAACCTCTTTTTTTTTATTTTTAAATTGTGCAATAAACTGCTCAATTTTTCTAATTTTTTCAAATCGGGATTTACTCCAAAACCCAAAAAAATTTTTTCATAGTGACCACGTCCTTTTAA